AACAATTGAAGTTTAGAAGTTAGATATATAAATACATTAGAATTGAGTGATATATATGTAAATTTTCCTTTAAAATAATAAAAAAATTTCTTCCTAAATAATTCGTAAATAATGGAACATGACAAAGGCTCATCATTTAGGAACAACTGCTTTGATATGCTCCTGGAAAACTCAATCTTTATTTATTTAATTAATTATTTAAATAATGCAAGCAATAGGCATCGATCAAACAAATTAACAGAAGTCCCAGGTAAACTTCCTTGAGAGACTAGCAAGATATATGATGTGGTAGCAGGTGAACGTCTTACTTCCCTTTCACTTTATTTACAATTTACTTGTCTTGTTTTTTAAGAAAAATAAAATTATAAATGTTGATGTAACTACAATGTTGCAAGAAATCACTTACAGGTGCCAACATTTTATTGAGAATGCAACTATAATGTTCCTAAAGAATTCAGAAACAATCAAAACAAAATGGTCCTGTTTTGGCCCAAAAAAATACATTGATCACCACTTCGTGAGTATCAAATACAAATAAAATAAGAAGAAATACATGTGGTTCGGTCAAAGACCTACATCCACAGTAAGACATAGAACATGTTTTATTATGCATTTGTCTAAAGTTACATAGATTTGAATCTCAAGGGAGAAAACTACAATATTCTCTCAGCTTCCTCTATACAATCAGTTTTTCATATGTTTCCTCCCTTCACATATGTACCTCAACTAAACAGAAGTTGTATCACATAAACTGCAGCAAATTCCATCACTGAAGCTGCAGCTAAGGAGAAATTGCAGCTAATAGCATTACCAATATAATCTGCAGCAAATTCCATCAAAAAAACTGCAGCTAAACAGAAATGACGTAGCAAAAACTTCACCAAATCATAAAGCTTTGAAAACCATGAAATGCTATTATTGAACTTCTCAACTTTGCAACCTTATTAATAAATAGAAGCTTTGAAAACCATGAACCCAATGCAAACTTCTGCATCAAATACATAAAACCAGAAGCTGCGGATCAAGCTACTTCGGCAAATACATGAACCATGAATTGCACCTAATTCAGATCAAACTGCAGCGAATAGAGAAACCATGAACTACAGCTAATGGAGAAAGCATCCTTTACAACCAGAGGGTGGAGGAAACCCAATTTTCAAGTGTAACAAAAAGAAAATAAATGGATATCTACAACTAGCATTTTTCAATCCATGAAAATCTCCACCAATTAAAGTTTGCTAAAGAAGAAAAACACTTAAAACACTATAAGGAATCATCAAAACCGACCCTTAAAAGAAACATGACTTCTCAACCCATCAAGATTATCTTAATAACTACAAAAAGAGAACAGCCGCAAGATGCAGTGGACCCATGATACAGGGGTTCTTGCCTACAAATTCCTTGGGACCATATGGATTCGTTGAATAAAAAACAATTCCGTTTCAACATACATCGCCATGAATCCACCACATCAAATACAACTGAAACCAAGTAATTTCATTCTTTAATGAAATGACACATCGGAGAAAGCTTAGCAATACATAATGCAAAACAAGAATATTTTCAGCATTTATGGCCAATTTTCCATTCATCTTCTTTGGATAACCAAAAGAATGAAGCCATGCATTTATTGTAAATGTCTTATATTAATACCAAGTAAAAAGGAGCCATGAATTTATGACCAATTGTTGTTAACACGAAGTAAATGCCTTATAATAATAATCAAACTTGAGATTCCCAAAAGAATTCTAGAGAAGCAACTGAAATTAGACCCAAAGAAATCTAGAGACCCAGCTAAACAAATTCATTGAACACATCACACAAAATTAGACCCAACTGAAATTAGAACCAGCTGAGATCTAGAGACCCAGTATTGATAATCAAATTTGTTGAAATCATGATTTTCTGTATTATCAAAAACATTGGTCTTTGCCTTGAAGTAGCGAAGTGTATCACAAACAATCTTTAAGAGTTTTTTCTGAGAAATAGCAGCTAATCTGCAACATTATGCGAAGCCGTTCAACCAATTAATTTTAAATAAGTTGAAAAACATTAAGAAAAGGATCTTAAATACCTGCTCTTTCAGATATTCTTTAACAAAGGATTCAAGTGTTTCAGCAGTTGAAGCAGTAATGGATTGAGTAGAAGAAGCGGCATCCCTCTTGATATTAAAACTTGCTATTTGTCTTTTAAATATTTCCATGGGAGATATAAGAATTCAGAAACAATCAAAACAAAATGGTCCTTGCACCGTATTTGAGGTGTACTTTACACCATATTCAAGAGACACCATTGCAATGGAATTAAATTCCAATTTTTTGATTATTTTCAACATAATCCAAAAAAAAAAATATTTAAAACCTGTCTGGCTCAGGAACAAACAAAGAAATAAAATAGTGTGGGAATTAAAGAACCAAAGCTCGGCAGCAAAGCATGTCCAGATAGCGCACGGTTGAGTAAAATGTCAATTAATAATCCAAACAAGCCAACAATGGCAGCGAATGTCGGCGAAAAGCTCGAATTGCCTTTGCTAAACTTCCAATCCTTACTTGCAACAAATGGCCAAGTCTTGAAGCTCGGATTTATGTCCCTAAATCCCACTTAAATAAGCCTATCATAATCTTAGCTCCTCATCTAATCCCAACCTTTTCATAGAATGCAGAACAAACGAATACTAGCAGTCTATAGAATTTGAAGAAGTAAATGAGCTATTAAAGCCAATATGAAAGAGGAAGGAAGATTTACATACATGCCGCTAAATTCTTATGTATTTAAATATCTAGACCTAAATTTAATTTTTACATATATGTAGCCTTACTTGCACATGAAAAAGTTGAATTTCACTTTTCAAACAATAATATAGCATTATTTTTTTGTGATACGAAAGATTTGGATGGTGTAAATGTAAGAAAATAAAGTTTCGGTATCAGATATGTAAATACATAACAATTAGGTGTTATGTATGTAAATGCCCCAAAGAGAAAACAATAACAACATACTATTTTCTGCTGCAAAAGTTTATTTTGTTGAAGAGTACAAGCTAGTTCCTCTCCTAGGCGATCAGAGAGCAACGGTCGGTTCACTGCTCATCTTCTACTCCCGATGATCCAAATCCTAAGACATTCGCATCACATTAGGGTGGAGATTTCGAATAAATAGAAGAAAGAACAGAAGGGAGATCGAAATGGAACCTTCTTCTAGGTATCAAGTTCGGCCAAGAAGGATTGAGAGAGAGAGAGAGAGAAGTTGCGATTGCTGTAATTGGTTACTTCCATGACGAAAACAATGGATCCACGCTGCTTATAATGCAAACTCAGCTAAAAGCTTAAGATGTATGCGCAGAAGACCCCAAACTACTTTTTTTTATTTACAAATAACTTCATTGAGAGTCCGCGTGGTGCGACATCCCCATCCGACGTACGATCGAACGGTCAGGATCCTCCACCCGCCGTTTTTTATTAATATGGTCACCTTCTAAAACAGACTTCCAATTTGCATAACAGAGATTTTGCTGACACGGAAACATACCACTAATACTTTTATGTTTTTACATAATTTTGAGACTTAG